GACATTACTCGTGGATATGAATACATCACCCCTCTGAAGTTAGCACCACAAGTGTAAAAAACGCTGGTTTTTTCAACAGTTCTTGTTGCACCCCAAAGAGTTCTACAGTTCTTTGCTATTTTCGAAAATAGTTCCATTTGTTTAACAGAAATAATGCAAATTAAATATTTGGGTGCTAACTTCACCTTTCTTTTTATAAAATTCCGCTATGACACTGTTTTCCTTACAGTTATCGTCATAATTGATCAGTGCACTCAAGAGAACTCCTTGGGGTGCTACAAGAACTGGTGAAACAATTAAAATTTTTGTCAAAATTTTTTTTTCAAAATTCGAAAAATGGAAAATACATTTTTTTTCCTTGCAGTTCTGGTAGCACCCCGGCGAGTTCTAACGGAAAGTCCAATGACAAAAATGCGTGGGATTCGCCAGAAAATAGTTACGGTCCAGATAAAATTTTAGATTTGGAAGGATGGGAACTAGTTTTCATTTGGCCGGCGTAACGGCCAAACTGGCTACCAATCATGTATTATTTTTTTTCTTTTAACCGAACAACTTGTCTTAAATGTGAAATGTGATCCGCAAGTTCAAGCGAGCAGAGTTATTACTGGCAGTTCATGTCAAGCAGTTAAGGCTGAGCATACCAGAAGTTTTTCTTTGACACGACAAAAATTATTGCTCAACCCTAAACACAGCGCAGTCGTGTATTTCCTAAAATGTACGATATACATCTTTTGGCAGGCATTGTGTCTCGGCCCGAATTTAGGGCATTAGATGAAACTAGGAAAGTATTGCCTCCTTCTAATGATGTTTTTAAAAGAATTTCTCAAGAAATGAGTGCAAATAATTGCGCTATGAGTGCCAAGCACGTTCATATTGTGCTAAACCAGAATAGAAGGGGCATACGAGATATTGTCTACAATGTTTTTGGTGTTACTCCGACTACATCTTTTGATGTAATAAATAGTTCTCTAGACATTTTCGGCAAATGCAAACCGAAAAGGTTTCTGTAAAAAGACCTTTCGCTTAGCAATTTCGGCTGCATCATTGCTCCAAATTTTACCGGAAAAGAAATCGTATGCAGGCAAAAACTATTTGATTTTTCAAGTCGATTGGACCGATATACTTGCAACGAAAATTTGGGAACAGACTAAAATAAAATGTGCTTTCAGTTTTAAGAACGGCAAAGTCTCCTGTTGTGAAACATCGCAATATTATGCTCAATTTTTTGCCCGATGCAAAGACTGTAATGCCGAATTGAGGGGTAAGTGTTGCAAATCCCGAAAAGGGGCGGATGCTGTTTTTTTCTGCATTCTGAGTGGTTATGCTCATGAAGTCGATCACCAGAAGAAAAGACAGCTTAGGGGAAATTGGCGATATGAAATAGCCAGTCAAATGATCGATCAAAAAAAATCACGCATAAATGACGCATTTCGAATTTTTTTAGAAAAATTACAAAAACCGTTTGCATTTTTATTTTATCTCTTGTACTGACTTTTATCAGTTGAACGAGGTAAATACATATTGAAGTCTATTTTCTTCAAAAGTTTTGAAATATTGAAATTCTCTATGTGGTATACCTATTTTTACGGATGTGTGTCAATTTGACGCACATCAGACACGATCGTAATGTAAATAAAATTTTTACTAAGTACTGTTACCAAGTACCAAGCATGCGTTTATAAAACTAAAAGACAATAAAAAACATACTCCAGAAACAATAACATATTACAATGGGACAAAGTTCGGAGTCGGCGTAATAGACCAAATGGCGCGCAAATATAGGTACCACCAAAGCAGCATCTTTTCGATGGCCTCTCCAGGTGTTCTTCAACATTTTAGATTTAGCGGCAATAAACGCATGGATCTTATACAAAGAATGTACTGAATCAAAATTATCCAGAAAGGATTTTCTATTTCAGTTGACCAAAGAACTTGCAGAAAAAGAAAAGAAAGTTTACAAAAACATAGATTATAATAAACCATCACCTAGTACTTCGCAAGAACGCAAGAGTTGCCAAATTGGATTTTGTAAAAGAAACAGGAGCATTAACACCTATAAAAATTGTGAAAAGATTGTTTGTGGAAAGTGTACAAACAAAATTGAATATTTGTGTAAAAGATGCGCGGAATGAATGTAGAATATTGAAATAATGTACTTAAATATTATTGAATAATAAAAACTTTCTATAAATATATGTATATCTCATATTTTCATTTTTTTACTTGTAGTATTTAATTATATTGCTTTCTAAGTGGTTGTTTTTCTTTAAATATATGTATTCGTTCATGCATCAAATTGACGCGTGTTCGTAAAGATAGGTACAGTAAAAGCTGGATATATGCAACAAACATTGGGACCCAGGCGTTGCATATATCCTGTCGAGGTGTCGAATCTCGGGTTACACGCGACGAACAGCCAAGCGTGAACGTAAAAAAGGACAGACAGTGGCCGAAAGAGAGAGGTCCGATGATCAAAGGAAAGAGCCGAAACGTATCGGCGTGACTAATACTAATTGAATCAAAAAACTTTTTTATTTTTTACTTTTTTTTAATGAAACTTGTACTAGCGCATTGGTGAGATTTTTGTGACTAAAGTGGTACCAAACACGATATAGTTTCAATTATAATTACTTGCTAAAATTGATGTTAAAAGTTGGCGAAAAGCAAAGGAGGATTGGAAATGAAAACCGGTTGCGGTGGCGGCTCGGGTTTCAAACGTTGCATATATCCAGCCGAGGTGTCGATTCTGGGCATTTAAACGTTGCATATATCCAGCCGAGGTGTCGATTCTGGGCATTTAATGTTGCATATATCCAGCCGAGGTATCGATTCTGGGCATTTAAACGTTGCATATATCCAGTCTTGGTATCGATTCTGTGCCCGTACAAATCGTTTGTACCGTGCCGCGATACCTATTCTACGTTCGTACACAACAAGCGACGTGTTGCATGTTGCATGTTGCGTGTTTGATGTATCTTTGGTGTACGGCCTGCCTTATATATATGTACAGTTCTATTATTATCTTAATAAATAAATATAATTCAAATCATATCGTGTTTGGTACCACTTTAATCAGAAAAATCTCACAAATGCGTTAGTAAAAGTTTCATTAAGAAAAAGTTAAAAATGAAAAAGTTTTATCGTTCAATTAGTATTAGTCACACCGATATTACGGTCGGATCATATTACACGGTTTCCTCGCCGAGCGGTTCGGTTCGGCTTAGGGGGATCCCCCCAAGTGAAGGGGATAGCGATGTTGCATATATCCAGCTTTTACTGTATATAAGAAATGTCCAAAAACCTAGTGTTAACGTACTCGGTAATTCGTCTTATATTTTGACGTGTGGTTTCGAATCCGCACGGATCATCAGCCGCACGTGCTTGGGGCATCAGATTACTTGCAGATCACATTTCACATTTAAGACAAGTTGTTCGGTTAAAAGAAAATAAATAATACATGATTGGTAGCCAGTTTGGCCGTTACGCCGGCCAAATGAGAACTAGTTCCCATCCTTCCAAATCTAAAATATTATCTGGACCGTAACTATTTTCTGGCGAATCCCACGCATTTCTGTCATTGGACTTTCCGTTAGAACTCGCCGGGGTGCTACCAGAACTGCAAGGAAAAAAAATGTATTTTCCATTTTTCGAATTTTGAAAAAACAATTTTGACAAAAATTTAAATTGTTTCACCAGTTCTTGTAGCACCCCAAGGAGTTCTCTTGAGTGCACTGATCAATTATGGCGATAACTGTAAGGAAAACAGTGTCATAGCGGAATTTTGTAAAAAGAAAGGTGAAGTTAGCACCCAAATATTTAATTTACATTATTTCTGTTAAACAAATGGTACTATTTTCGAAAATAGCAAAGAACTATAGAACTCTTTGGGCTGCAACAAGAACTGTTGAAAAAACCAGCGTTTTTTACACTTGTGGTGCTAACTTCACAGGGGTCAGTTTTATTGCACGGTCACTACACTTCACGATCACTTTCACCTGTCACTGTTAACAGCACGTTTCCAGGTGGATAAATTGTTTTTAAAAAACGATTTTTCTAAGTAATGTTAAAAAAAGATAATCAGTCTTAACCTGCTTCGACGGAAGTGGAGCGTTGATGCTGAGTCGTACTGCCGATCCTGACCTTTTCCAGGCAATCCGAAACAGTTGACAATACGGCTAGGTTGTTGAACTCGCTTCACTGCACGGGGAAAGGTGGGGATTATTTTGAAACGGTTTATTTTTCCTACGTGTAACCGAGTCGGTCATTGAGTGACGAATGAATGTATTATTTTTTTTTTGTCGGATGGGAAATACATTTACGTACGCGATGTGGGACTCAAACGTGCTTACAGCACCCCAATATCCACTAAAACCCCTCCGCCACTAGGCTGATTGTGATAGCCGTGGTGTCAGTAGCGGCAGCGGGTGGTGTCACGTAACCAAGAATGAATACATTATTGTATAATAAACAATTGATCTTACATCAGAATGAACGAATTCTTACACGCACACACATTCACACATACCGCGAGATCGTATGGGGGGGGGGGGGGGGGGGCATGCTCGCGGCGCGACAATCTCGCAAACCGATTTCTTCGGAAGAGCAGCATACAGTCGATCACGAGTCTTTGTATACCGTTTAAAACAGGATACCTCATTTAAAATTGGACCAAATGATTTGAGGCTTTTAGACAAGCTATAAAAATTAATTTACTAAGCTATGTACTTTTGCTGTTTTAAAAAATTACAGTTTGTCCAATTTTAAATGGGGTAATCTGTTTTAAACGGTGTACAAAAGGCTTCCGTGATTGACTATACTTTTGATGCTAGCTCGTCGTCAACTAAACAAAATCACGTGGCTGACCCTCGCTATTAATTGCACTAATAATAATCATTTTTTCCCCATACTTTTGTAAAAATATCCCTTCCTTAACGAACTTCCATCTACGACCCTGAAAACGTTTTCAACTGGCAAAATTAGTCGCGAACGAAACATTCAAAATGCTACGTACAAACGCAGGGTAGTATGATACGTTTTTTACATACGCGAGCGCCATGGCAATGCGAATCTTACCGCTGCCCGGCACCGCGCGTTGCAACCCGGTGAACGAACACTCAGTGCGGCAGCCTTCCACCGGTTGGCTTGCCGCCTTCATACGACCGGGTCGTTACAACCCGATCGTACAGATACGAGCCGATCGCGTCGAACTTCTACGACGCGGTTAGAAGAAGTCCTCGCAGAGTTCGACCGGGATGGCACTCAGAGTATGCGAGACGTTAGCAGGCGGGTGGGGTAAGTTTAAATTTTCAAATACATACATTTGAAAATACATTTCATAATAAAAATGGAATTATTGTGTAACTTTTTTTTTTCAAGTTTAGTGTCAGCCGGACCACAGTGCACCGTGAACTGCAGCAAGAAGGAATGCACCAGTACAAATTTGTACGGGTACAAACATTGCTCCCCAGAGGTTATGTCCAACGGATGGAATATTCAAGGTGGCTGTTGGGAAAAATCGAGCTGAATCCGTTGTTTTGCAGGTACATTTTGTGAACAGATGAAGCCCTTTTTACACGGGAGGGGTGCTTTAATGCCCACAATTCGCACCTGTGAAACGATGAGAATCCGATTGCGATTCGTCCACGTGCAGCACAAGACCGTTGGTCAGTCAATCTATGGGCCGGCATTTGCGATGATTTTGTTGTTGGACCATACATTCTACGCGCTAGATTGGATCGAACAACATACAGAAATTTTCTGGAGCATGATCTTCCGGATCTCTTGGAACACATTCCTTACGAGATTCGGATGAATCTCATTATGCCACAAATGTTCGGTCTTACTTATTGTTAGATCAAGCCTTTCGCGACTGGTAGATTGGCCGCGGGGGTTCTGAACCGTGGCCCCCACGGTCTACGAATATGAATCCGTTGGACTTTTTCTTCTTGGGACACCTGAAGGTACGTTCAGTACCATTATTACTTTGCACTAACTTTAAATATCTTTATTTACGCATTTTGCTTTTCCCTTCATATTTTCAGACTGCAATATACCGGCAACCCGTGACCACGAGGGATGAGGTCATCGCACGCATTCGCGACAATATCACGCGACACGTTGCGGAAAGTGCAACAAAATGTACGACGGCGCGCGGAGGCCTGCTTAGAGGTTGACGGGGGGTACATCGAACCCATCCTGGCCTCCATAACATGACACCACCCGCTGCCGCTACTGACACCACGGCCAGCACAATCGGCCCGGTGAGGGAGGGGTTTTAGTGGATATTGGGGTGCTGTAAGCACCATTGAGTCCCACACCGCGTACGTAAATGTATTTCTCTTCCGACAAAAAAACAAAAAACAAAAAAAAAAAATGCATTTATTCGTCACTCGGTGACCGACTTGGTTACACGTAGGAAAAATAAATCGTTTCAAAATAATCCCCAATATATACAGGGTGAGGCACTAACTATTGCCACGTAGAATAATTCGAAAGTATGATAGTAGTAGAAAAGTTTTTCAAACAAAAGTTGCATCGGACAACAGGGGCCGTGGTATGACGTTAATGTTTTGTTGCTAGGTGGAGTTGCCTGAGGAGACCCCTATAATGCGAAGCACTGGCTAACTGCGCAGCGAACGCTGTTTACCATACCTCTCCTCAGCCGAAACCGAGTTTTTCTAGCTCGAATTCTGTTACTACGCAGTTGAGCACGACGATAGTTTCAAGGAGGGGTAATAACTAAAGGAAAGAATTGAGAAATGAAAAGAGAATTAAAGGATAGAAAAGACAAAAGTAGAATAATTATAAACTCAAACTCTTCCCTGTGCATTTCCCACATGAAGAAGTCTCTTACAACCCGAAGGCTTGATGGGAAAGCACAGAGTCGAGGAGGAAATTGAAACGATGAAGTAGTAATTCGCCCTCTTCACGCCCCTTACATGAGGAGACTCCCACAACCCCCGAAAGGGCTTGATAAGGGAACATGAGGCGGACAAATTTGTAAAATTTTCCCAGACGTGACACGTCGTTCACAAGGGACGAAGACAAGCAGAGTTTTATGCTAAGAGATGCGAAAGCAAGGTCTATAGTGGTGCAGTGTATAACGGACAAACATTTAGATTTAGTGAAAGATGCGACCACCACCAAGGAAATGATGGAAATTTTAAAGAATATGTTTGAAAGAAAGAGCACGTTCTCAAAACTGCATTTGAAAAAGAAATTACTTTTATTGAAATGTGGCAGAAATGAAAGACTAGAAGATATCTTCTTTTTTTCAAAAAACGGTACAAAGAACTCCTTGGGGTACAAACGAAAGTGAAGGTGGTACAAATGGGTACAAACGATTAGGGAACAGCACCCGTAAAAAGATTTGAAAAATCTTCAAAAATGACGAAGTTACCTCTTGGGGTTTTTTTCAAAAGTCGGTACAAACGAACCCCTTGGGGTACAAACGAAAGTGAAGGTGGTACAAACGGGTACAAACGTTTCTTTTTTAATTGGCGTTGAAAGAAATAAAAAATGTTAAAGTGGGGTGCTAGGCTATTTTCACCCCCTTATATCTTTTCACCCCTTAGGGTACAAACGAAAAGAAAAGTGGTACAAACGGGTACAAACGAAGGAGAATACAATGCAATTGGAAAAAATTGATTTTCTCAAAGTCGGGTGCCAGGTTCAGGTAGGTATTTATTTTATCTCTAATAAATGACCTACATGTATTATTATTACTATATGATAATTAAAGTAAGAACAAGATGTTATAATATGATCTACATGCATTGTTCCATTAACACTTTATCTACAGGAAGCCTATTAATAGTTTCTTCAACACCATGGGCTGTTGATGGAAAATGAATTATTAATTTTCTGTTTATTACAAATTTGCATACATATAACTCAGTTAAAATAATGAAAGTTAGATGTACTTCTATTAAGAAGAAATAAAAAAGAAGGATTACAATGCTTTATCTTTAATTACTGTTAAGTTGTATGGTGATAGTGCTTATCTATTTTATTTATGGCTGATGGATAATGTGTTAATAGAGAACTGAACAAAACGAGCTCTTTGTTATATAAAAAGTAATATTGTCTACATATTACCATAGATAGTAAATACTTATTATTTCTGCTAGAATCTAATAAATATTTTTCATTGCGCTTTAATGATTAAAATCATTTCTGTGTTGTTAAGAAATGGAATAAGTTTCACTTATGCAGCATTTTCCGTTTTTCTTAGCTCGAATTAGCATATTCCTAGGAAACGGACTATTCAGCAGGTTAAATTAAATTAAATGAGGTCAAGATAGGTTATATTAATGGCCAGCTGGCACTAACATTTGAATTAAGACTTTTAGCACTTTCATGGTAGCAATATTAGTATCCCTACTTTCAACAAGTATGAGAGATTCGGTTTTCATTTTTGTAGCATTGCCACTTTGTGGACAATTCATTCCTTACTTTATTAACACTTTATTCCGCAGGAATTTGAAAAGTGAAATTTAAATAATTAATAAATGAAGAATGTGTTTTTCTTTGGTTTCAAACTACTAATGCTAATTTTTTTTTATCTTTTGTACTTTGTGGATTGTAGCGAGTTCCATAATCAAAATGACTGAACATATGTATAATTCCGAAAAAATGGAACTTAATTAATGTTCATGAATTTTGCCAGGATCAAAATTTATTATTCAAATTTCTACAGAATATGATGCTAATTGAAACAGAAATGAATTGTCCACAATGTGGACACTCAATGAAAATAGTAGATGCAAATTGTCGTTGCACATTGACTATTCCAGCATCTGCTAATCCTAACTAAAAGAAGAAAGTTTGCAATGTTAAAATATCAGGAAAAAAGAAACGTTTTTTTAAAAAACTAAAGTGAGTTACAAGACACTATTAAAATTAACTTTAATGCCTGTGTATAACTACGACCAATGATATATTATAAGGGAATTGGAACTGAATGGGAACAATGGTTATATTTTGTACAAGTGATGATTGATTGGATATCACTTTTGTAACCTAATTGGTGGCGAAGGAAAAATTATAGAAATTGACAAGTTCAAATTCGGCAAACAGAAATATCATACAAGGCATTATGTTGAGGGATCATCTGATGTTTAGAGGCACTGAGAGAGAGAGCAGCAAAGTATTTTTAGTGCCTACTGAAAGTAGAGATTCACACTAGTAGGAATTATAAAGGAATGGATTAGGTCCCGAAAGACAATTACATCCGATAGCTGTAAAGCTTTACAATATTTTAGAGAAAGGGGGATATAAACATTTGAAAATAAACCATAGCATAAATTTTAAAGATCCTCTAACAGATGCATGCATTAATACTGTAGGAAGCACTCTGCACATACCAAACATTTTCTACCAGAATGTTATCAGTTATTATTTATAATTTTACTCGTATTTTTTTAATGTATTGTCTTTTTTATAAATTATAATGCTATTAATATTTTCTATTTCTAGCAAGAAGGACAACTTTATGAGATATTTAAGCCATTATATTTTCACCAAAAATGCCAAAAGCGAAAATGCAGACTTGTTCGACGAAATCTTAACAGAAATTGTAAAGATTTCATTCGATTCCAGAGAAAATATAAATATGCATAATTTAGATGATTCGGAATAAATATTTGTAGTGTAATATAGTACCATTTCTGCCCATAGATCTATCGAAGTGTACTTAACCTCATTTTTTTATTGAAAGTATACAGTCACGAAAAAAATGAATTTCCACAAATAATGATAGTCAAATTAGTAATATACTTGCCAAAACGAATTCAACGACGTATGTATACCTCCGTTGCAATCACTAAACGGTCCGTTTCCTAGAAATGTTCCTTCATTTTCCATTATAAATTGTATTGTAAGTTTAATACACTATTTTATGTTTTTATATTGGTAATAAAAGCACAATGCTGAATTGCGATTTATGTACATTATATTTTCACTTACGGTTGCGGCTGAAGTCGAATTAAGTGGAGAACACGTACGTGTTGATTCTCAGGAACGCCATCAAATGTATTATTATTGGCGAAATTTCCGAAAACCTGTCAAACCCGATTTGGCTGAGACTTTGCAAATAGCTTCATTTTGCATAAAAACAATATTTGCGGAAAGGATTTTTGGCGACTCAAAGGCTTAGAGTCAAAATTTTGCGAAAAACATTTTACCATTTTGATATAATTTCCTGCATTATCGACGCCGCATAGAATAAGATTACAACAGTTTGCCGCAAAAAGCGTGCTTCGCGCGCCTAATTGAGATAGGGGGAGATCTTTTGTAATTGTAATTACAACAGTTTTTTGTATACGTTTTGTATTAATTTTCATTATAAACATATTTAATGTCTTCTAATAAATTATGAAATGGATCTCCTCCGTTTTTCTTCACTTCCTATCGCCACAAATATTCACAGAGATGGTCAATTAAATCATCTTGATGAATGCCACCTCTACTCAAACGGGCTCGTAAGCTCCGCCATGAAGATTCAATATTTTGTGTGTACGCCCCTGTTTCTGGATCTACAAAATTTTCACTGTGGTTCACAGTTTTATGAATGTATCCATGTCTATTTAAATTTTGGTACCCTTTCCAGCAGTCTGTATGAATTTCAGACCCTATCGCTACATGCTTCTGAATTAAGGCCAAACGCGTTGTTTCGTCGCGTTTGTTGTTCGGGCATATTTCTAATCTAAACTTATTTCCGCCGCGCTCAATCATACCTATTAAACAATAAAAATTCAACAGAAATGCAATTACAACGTATGAAATAAATTTCAAAAATATAAAGATGTTAATTATTCGAAATAGAGTCGATGCCAGTCACAAAAGTTGCCGGC